TACCTCAAAATATGTAAAATATCACACATGAGATAAAAAAGTTTAAAAATAACAGCTTTCCAGTAACTCTCCAGTGGTCCCTGGGGAGAGACAAAGGAAAAAATACTGTCCAAAGATGAACTTGCTTCCCTTAGTATCCCAGTGCATCTAGCATTAAAACAAGCGTTATCACCAGACAAAGGTGTTTTCATCTTTATATTCGCTAAAGCTGCAGGTTTTATCCTTCAGGCATTAAACTTAAATCATTATTTAAATTACCAGTCAGGAAGATGCAATTATTTAAATCAAAATTTATCCAAAGTCAGAAAGGCACTATTATCATTTCTAATAAAAATACATTTTGTTGTTTGATATAACCTGAGTACTTATTCTTCAATATTCAGAAGTGTAGGTTTCATTTTTAGGCAATACTGTATAAACTGCCTCTATTTATTTAGAATTTATTCAGATTAGTAACTGTGGTGGAGGATATTTTTAACCATTAACTGTTAGAAGAACAGTCACAACTATCTTTTAAACTGAACAAATAATCTTATTTATATCTCTAAAAATGTATTCTCATTTTTACAAAGTCAGTTACTAGATCTGTTAACCTGAAAGATAACAAGAATAGATTACAATTAGATCTATGGAATAGATAATTAAAATTGTTCATAATTATATTTCAGCTATGTTCATGTTTTTATATTTAAAGAAAAAATAATCTGATGTAAATTAGACAATCCAATTAAAAAACTAATTAATCATTAAAGATAATTGATTTTAAGTTGCCCTGCTTGGGACACATTTAAATAGTACTAGACAACCTGTGACCTGTTGGGTCATCCTTTGAGAGAAAGGTATTGCAGACTGATATGACCAGAACAAACATTAAATTTTCCTGAATGGTATTGCTATCACTTTGCTTTGAAAATGACCATGGGCGGGCAAAAAAGCAGTGGGAGCAGAAGCAAACTGACTTTGCTTGTGGGAAGCTGGCAGGGAGTGTCAGAAATCATGATCACGTGACCACGGGGAGCCTGCAACAGCCACAAATTTGCAAAAAAAAAGAGGTCCAAACATCCTGGAAATTTCAATTCCACAGGAATAATGGGTCCTGGATTTTTTACGCATTTTTTAAGTTAGCAGATTTTAGGTACCTTGATTCAAAAATTGTTGCTGTATAATGCACCATTTGGACTAACTTGAGGGTACCAACAGACAGATAAGCACAAGATTTTTAGTAGTATACAGATAAGATGCTACAGGTAGTCCTCAACTTATGATGTCAATTGGGACCTGAATTTCCATCACTAAGTGATTGCTTAGTGATGGCAATCGCTGCAGTCCCAGTTGCTGTCATTAACTGAATCCCATGGTCGTTAGGTGAGGCAGCTTCCTGCTGGCTTCCTACAACCAAAGTCAGCAGGGAAGCCTGCAAGAAGTTGCAAGTCCCAGACTGGCAGGCAGGCAGGTAAGTGGCAGCTACCAGGTGGGGGAAGAAGTGAGGGGGTGGGTCAGGGAGGGTGCACAAGGATGCACAGCAGTGCACAAGAGGTATTGTGTGGGTGGGGGAGGGTGCACAAGGATGCTCAAGAGGCACTGCGCAAGTTGGGGAGGGTACCTGAGAGGCACCGGCAGGTCAGGGAGGGTGCCCGAGAGGCACTGTATGGGTTAGGGAAGATGCGCGGGGGTGCGGCATGGGTTGGGTGCATGGGGGTGCACGAAGGGCTGGCGCAAGTGCAGAGGGACTGGGGAGGGTGTGCAGGTTGGGGAGACTTATCCCAGCGACTTGTGATCTTCTCTGCTGGCTCCCCCTTTGATTTTCTGCGGAAGCTGGCATGGAAGGTTGCAAATGGTGATCATGTAATCGCTGGGCGCTTGGCAACGGCTGAATCCTCACGTCTTTTTCAAATCTGGTGTTTGTCTGAGCCAGGATTGTTAGGTGCGAACGGGCTGCCAAGTACCCAGATCGCAATCATGTGCTGGGTGTGCTGGGAGGCTGGTGCTGGGAGGTGGTGCTGGGAGGACCACAACTTTGAGAACCAGTCATAAGTCTCCTTTTTCAGCACCATCATAACTTCAAATGGTCACTGAACGAATGATTGTAAGTTGAGAACTACCTGTACTCTAAGATATCCACATAGCTTCTAAAATTAATTCATATACAAATACTAATTTTTTAAAAGAATAACGAAGACACTGCAGCCTTTTAGAACCAAAAAGAAAAGTCAAAATGAAGGAATAAACTGGAAAATGCTTGACACAATACGCTAACTAAAGGTAATATATTTTTAATCTTCTAAAATGCTTGTTCAAATGAAAGACCAGAAATTTTCAGTATTGATGTTGACAAATACTTCAGCCTAACAGAACACTGACCCTAAGTCTCTAATAACTATTTCAAATTAGTTTAAATTAGCATCTACTTTTTCTAATGTAGAGATTTGTCAAATAATACTGAGATTTGCTGAACCTTGCTCACTTCCACCCTCTGGCAACAAACTCACATAAAAATGTTAATTGCTGAATAAACTCATCTGTATGGAAATTCAAATAAGAAGCACTCATTACCTTCTGGATAACCCCAAGAACTATCTAAATAGGTAATATGGTCCCTATAACAGGCAACAGAGTCCTTTGTAAAGTCCACTCAATGCAACAATGAGGTCAACAGCTGGCCATTCTCCTCTGGCTACAGCATACTGTGTTTCAGCAAGTGGCACTTGGACTGTCTCTGTCCTTGAATTTAAGATGCGGCCATCCTGACTGGCAGCCACCAATAGCACCTGCTTGAACATCCCTCTCCACACTTCCCAAATCATTCTTATTAAGGGTTCTTTCTTTGTTCTAACTGAACCAAGAGTTTCCAGACTATATTCTACTAGAACTAAATATTTATTTCTGCCTTCTGCAGAATGTTACTTACCCTGAAAAGGAACAGCAGGATGGGTAGATTGGTATGGATATATGCTAAATATTTATGAATCCTAAGCAACACTAGCCTTTAGCTGGAAAGTACAGCTCCTCCATACAAGAAAATCCCCATGTGAAACAGAAAATCTTTTGATACAGAAGAAATTATCTCTAAAAACACTCATGAAGAAAAGCTTTTCTATATTTTCGGCTACCAAAGTGCAGACGTTTACAGTCAGAAATCACACTGCTATTTATATCCATTGTTTATGGCCTTGGTCCCAAACTCTGGTCCTTGCCTTGCATATGACAACACAACTGACTTGCATATTTAATAGGAAAGAGTAAATGATTCCATATGGCCTTGCAGCCTTTCAGAGCCAGAGAAGCAGCTCTATGTTAAGTCATAGACTGCCTGCCAAACATTTAGTGCTTAAAATGTACAAAAGAGCAACCATTGAATGCACTCCTGCTACCCAACAACAGGCACTCAAATAATTCTAGCCCAAATATAAAACAGTGAAAATATTTTTCTTAGAATTGTATAAAACAGTTTAACATATTCTTCTCTATTTTACATGCATTTCCTAAAACAACCAAATAGGTTTTGAGACAAGAATTTACAGAACTTTACAGAATTCCAAAACAAATAGTTTGCACCTCAAACATGTTCCAAAACTGAATAAGCTTTCTTGCAGACAAGTAGAAACAAAGGCTGCTACAAAATAAGGCTATTTTGAGAAAAAGGCTTTTAAGAGAGAAGGCTGAAAGATAAAGCCTCCTTTCTCCAACTAAAAAGCATAAAATTTGTAGGCATGAACCTCCAGAATTAAGCTTAAATCAAAGTATCAGATCCCCCAAAAGGTTATGTTTTAGCTGGTATAATTTTTGTGTGATATTGGAAATAAAAAGAAAAATGGTTCATTAATTATTCTGTTGACAGGGAAGTTATAAATCCCAACTCCTTTTAACTGGAAGTTTTTGCTCCAAGCTCACAGGAGTGAAACCCCACTTAATTCAGGATCCCATTCTATTTTCATAACAGATTCCAAGCCTCTTCAAACTAAACTAAACTAAACTAAACTAAACTAAACAAAACAAGCACACACCTCATTTTTTAAACCCAGTGTGAAAATTCTTAGCGTGCTTCACCAGTTTTCTTATATGTGCCCACCATGTTTTATGAAATATAAGTTTTCAAAGCATGGCTAACAACAACTTGATGTCTGAACATGGAAACTGATTGCTCCTGCATGAACTTGACCCACAATCCCAAAGGGTGCTTTCCAGCAATTTGCTTCAAGCAGCTGTCCGACAGGCAGCCCGTCTTTTAAATATGTTACAACTGCATGCATTCCTCTGGCCACTCAATCTTGTACTTGGCCAAATTCTCTCTTACTAGTCATAATCATGAAAGGTGAAAAACAACACAAGGTCAGTATTGCACTCTACTTCATTCTGACTGGGAGGAAAGTGCTGTTATTAAAGCAAGCTCAGATGTCACATCAGCCTGACAGAAACAGAAAGGCTGAACGACGTTTGCTCAGAAGCCCAGGCTGCACTGAACAGCCTGCCGGAAAAGGAAACTTAGAATTACAGTATGGAATTAAGAGACCACAATTATATGGTCCAACTTTCTGCAATGTGCAGTAAAACTAACTAAACCATCCTTGAGAGATGGTCCTACAAAGATGAAGTTCACCACCTTGATATAAGCTCCCCTATAAAGGTGCATTTATCCATCTAGCAACTTGACAGAAGAGAGACAGTCCATACATGCTCAGGCACCATTCTCACATCTAATGCCTTTATTATCAATAATGAAATGCACCCTACGCTATCTCAGAATGGTCTCCCCGTTTGATAGCCAATGTTCAGAAAAATGTTCCACCTGCTCACAAGCACGGCACACACCCGATGAGAAAAGCGCTCTGCTTCATAATAAACCGATGGCCCCCTGCTCCCACTTCCCTCAGCCGTTATCTGCCCAGTCTCCAGAACCGCTCCCCATCCCCGTTTCACCCCGTAGCAACCCTGCAAGTAGGGAGTTGAGGGGAGCCGGCATTCTGCACATGCCCAGAGGCGCGAGGGGCACTGTTCCTCACCGCGGCCGTATCCCTGTGTGTGCTTAGCGAAGCTCCGGACCACAGCCTCGACAGCCTCCCTCAGTACGGCGGGCGGCCC